AGGCTAAAATTTGCCTGTGCATCTTCACTAAAAAAGAGGGTATGTATGTGGAAGGCAGGGTAGAATTCCTCACTCATTGACTGAGAGAAAGCTGTTTGCTATATTTTACATGGTAAACTGATTTTTAAACAGTTAAAATAGCAACTTCTGCAGCCAGATCCCACAATTCCTGGACCAGCTCAGCACTTTCACACAGGGAGACACCTTCTTCCAACTACCACATGTATACCCCACATTTAAGAGAGATCTGCCTTGACACAACATCTGCATGAAATGTGTGTACTCTCTCCTGTAAAATAACAAAGTGACAACCAGTTGCAACTCCATTTTCCATTTGCCCAGAAACTAGAGGTCTGCCTAAATTCTGAAATACTCCCAAAATCAAAAAATGTCCACTGAGACAATACTTTCACTGATAATTAAGCTGGCCAATGGCAACATTCACACTTGCTTCAAACAGATAAGACTTCTTTCTGTTACCCTGGACATTCCAGATATATAAACCCCACTGGCCTAATTTCAAACAGACCTCACAACCTCTGAGGATGACTGTGGGAGAAACGTCAGGAGAGAATGCTTCTGGAACATGTCCATACAGCCTGGAAAACTCCCAACAACCCAATACTTTCCATTTCTGCTGGTTCCAAATAAAGCGACATTATTACAAAAATTACACAACATTTTCTTCAGGCTACACATGCAAGGTGTACATGAAGAATAAATGAATTTTATATACATAAATGAAATATCTCCAAAATATTTTATTATGTATGCATATAAAAATATAGGCATTTCAAAATAAAAGAATCCAAAAATTTCTAGTCTGAAGCATTTTAGGTAGTATTTATTTATCATGATGTAACTGTGAATGGTGATGCCTACTTGTTTTTAAGTATTTATTTGTTGGGTTAGTTATTATACATTCACATTTATGCATATTTTATGTATCCATGTATATTTTATGTTTTTGATTTTGTATTTAGTTCATTTGTTATTATGGCATTGAACGTTTGTCACTTTTGTCTCCTTGGGAAGATAGGGTGGGTTACAAATGAAGTTACTATTATTAGTTATTATAGGGTTTTGTTTTGGTTTTTTGTGTCAGCAGCAACTTGAAAAACCACAAGTCAGTTCTGATGGGAGAGAATTGGCCGTCTGCAAGCACATTGCCCAGGGGACACCCGGATGTTTTGATGTTTTACCATTCTTGTGGGAGGCTTCTTTCACGTCCCTGCATGGGGAGTTGGAGCTGACAAAGGGGGCTCATCTGCGCTCTCCCTGGATTTGAACCTCCAACCTGTCTGTCTTCAGTCCTGCCAGCACAAGGGTTTAACACATTTTGCCACCAGGGGCTCGCAGTTGTTATAGTAGTAGTAGTTTATTTTGCAATATGCTTATCTGTAAACATGTAGTGTACGCTCCCATTCTTTCTGTTAATACTTGATTTCTTAGGTGTGCCTGATGCAATTGTAGTGTACGCCACTTTTAAAAAATTGCATATCTTTGTTATCAATACTGAAATAAATATGAGGTATGAAAAGAACCTCCCATGTCATATGTTGTTTCTATGTTGCAGAATGAATGAAGTTTTGATACTACTTTAACTGCTATGGCTATAAGGTCCTGGGAGTTGTATTTGTACAAAGTCTTTTGCTGTCTCTCCTAGTTCACATCCCAGGATTCAATAGCATTATAGTAGTAGTAGTTTATTTTGCAATATGCTTATGTGTAAACATGTAGTACGCCCCTTTTCGTTCTGTTTATACTTGATTTCTTAGGGGTACCTGATGTAATTGTAGTGTAGGCAACTTTTAAAAAATGCATGTCTTTGTTATCGAGACTGAAATAAATACAAAGTATGAGAAGACACCCCCCCCCCTCCTGTCATGTGGTGTTTCTATGCTGCAGAACGAATGCAGTTTTGACACTACTTTAACTGCTATGGCTATAAGACCCTGGGAGTTTTAGTTTAACAATGTCTTTTGCTGTCTCTCCTGCCTCATGTCCCAGGATTCCATAGCACTGATCTATGGCAGTGTAACAAAATAGCTAATTATAATGTATGTTTTACATATGTTTATTGATGTTGTGATATGATAGGTGCAGGCCAACATTTGCTGTGGTTGCCATAGCGATGGAGCCTGTTGTAGGAATGTAACCAAGTTAGATGAGCCAGAAGTCAAAGTGGGCAGAGCTAACTGCCACTGGTGGGGAGAGGGAGACAATCAATTAAAAATAGTTTATTGTACGGGCCCAAGGAGAGAAAGAGTCAGTCTTTGGTGAGGAAACCAAAGAGGGAAGTTGGTTCTGGTGTGTTGGGAAACCAAATCTAGGGATTTAAGTCTTCAGCCAGTGTGTTTAGGGAGTCAATTGGACCTGTTTAAATTAGCAATTAGCTCGTGAGCTAAGGGAAAACGAAAACCCAGTAGTAACTATAACTTCAGTGGGGATAGCTGAAGAGAGAATAAGGCAAGCCAGTGTATTAAGCTGTCAGTTAAGAAAAAAAAGATTCTTTGCAGTGAAACAAGTCTAAAACCAGTCTGGTGGAAGTAAAAGCCATGCTGAGAGTTAAATCTTGAACCAGTCTGTTGTTCCGTGGTCAGTTCTGACTGTTGCTACTTGGTCCTTGTACAGATTCCTCAGGAGAGAGACAAGGTGGCTTGGGATGCCAATCCCACCAAGAACTTGCCACAATTTATTATGATCCACACAGTCAAAGGCTTTAGAATAGTCAATGAAGCAGAAGTAGATGTTTTTCTGAAACTCCCTGCCTTTCTCCATTATCCAGCGGATATTGGCAATTGGGTCTCGTTCCTCTGTCTTTTCTAAACCCAGCTTGTATATCTGGCAAATCTTGTATCATGTATTGCTGGAGTCTACCTTGCAGGATCTTGAGCATTACCTTACTGGCATGTGAAATAAGTGCCACTGTATGAAAGTTTGAGCATCCTTTAGCATTCCCGTTTTTTGGATATAAGTTGACTTTTTCCAGTCTGATGGCCATTCTTGTGTTTTCCATATTTGCTGGCATATGGCATGCATCACCTTGACAGCATCATCTTTTAAGATTTTAAACAGTTCAGCTGGGATCCCGTCATCTCCTGCTGCCTTGTTGTTAGCAATGCTTCTTAAGGCCCATTCAACTTCACTCCTCAGGATGTCTGGGTCTAATTCATTCACCACACCGTCATAACTATCCTCAATATTATTATCCTTCCTATACAGATCTTCCTTATAATTAAGACTCATGTCCATTTATTGAGAAGAAGATTTCCCTCAAAAGAAGGCAGCTGAAGATATTGGAAGAAAGGATTCTGGTTGGGGTAATGAGTAAAAAACCAAGTAAAAAACCCATTTAAAAAGTCAAGCTTCAGCAACACGCACCCCCACTACTTTACTCTCCTCATCGCCCTGGTGTTATATACACACACACACACACACATGTGTGTTATTGTTCGTTCATTCAGTTGTTTCTGACTCTTCATGACCTCATGGACCAGCCCACGCCAGAGCTCCCCATCGGCCATCACCACCCCCAGCTCCTTCAAGATCAATCCAGTCACTTTAAGGATGCCATCCATCCATCTTGCCCATGGTCGGCCCCTGTTCCTTTTTCCTTCCATTTCCCCCAGCATCATTGTCTTCTCTAAGCTTTCCTGTCTTCTCATGATGTGGCCAAAGTACTTCATCTTTGCCTCTAACATCCTTCCCTCCAATGAGCAGTCGGGCTTTATTTCCTGAAGTATGGACTGGTTGGATCTTCGCAGTCCAAGGCACTCTCAGAACTTTCCTCCAACACCACAGTTCAAAAGCATCTATCTTCCTTCGCTCAGCCTTCCCTAAGGTCCAGCTCTCACATCCATAGGTGACTATGGGGAATACCATTGCTTTAACTACGCGGATCTTCGTTGCCAGTGTGATGTCTCTACTCTTCACTATTTTATCGAGATTGGACATTGCTCTCCTCCCAAGACATCTCATTTCCTGGCTGCAGTCTGCGTCTGCAGTAATCTTTGCACCTAGAAATACAAAGTCTGTCATGGCCTCCACATTTTCTCCCTCTGTTTCCCAGTTGTCAGTCATTCTTGTTGCCATGGGTTTTTAATGTTTAGCTGCAACCCAGCTTTTGCGCTTTCTTGATTAGAAGGCTCCTCAGTTCCTCCTTGCTTTCGGCCATCAAAGTGATATCACAGAATCATAAGAGTTGGAATATTGCATTCAAAGCACCCCTGACAGATGGCCATCTAGCCTCTGTTTAAAAACCTCCAAAGAAGTTAACTAAAGCAGCTTGTTGTACTTGTTAAAAGTTGCTGTTGAAAGTATTGCTGGTCTATTATTCTTGGACGTTCCATGTTCCCTTGGCAGTAAGAAGGCCCTACATGATGGCCCTTTATGTAAAATCAGACTGGCCAACATCCTTTAACCGGGAACCGGGGCAGAGAGTTCCACTGCTGAACGGCTCTCACAGTCAGGAAGTTCAGATGGAATCTCCTTTCTTGCAGTTTGATCATCTGCATATCTAAGGTTGTTAATGTTTCTTCCAGCTCTTTTAACCCCAGCCTTGCATTCGTCAAGCGCGGCACATCGCACGATGTGTTCTGCATACAAGTTGAATAGGTTGGGTCATTTGTTAGTCGTCTTTTACAGGCAGTCAAAAGTGGTGTCAAATGGGCCAACTTGGGCCTTCCTCCAGATGCTTTGAGCATCTGGAGGAAGGCCCAAGTTGGCCCAGGCCTTAGTCCATTCCTCCTGCTCTTCCAGTCTAGAAAGGGCCTGAGGCTGTTAGGAATGGTGGGAATTGGAGTCCAAAACACCTGGAACGAGGGCCGAAGTTTGCCCAGGCCTGGAGTAATTGCACCTTCAGTCTGGATTAGCTACAGAATGGGCAAATGTCTTGCCTGGGCAACCCACCCATTTCCTTTCCTTCCTTGATGGCCGCTGCAGCAATGAAGGCACTCGACTATAGACCTAGATCTACATAATGAAAGAAATATACTCACAAGAGCCGCTCCTCCCCAGAGCCCGCCTTGGTCCATCCACGAAGCGGCCCTTCTGAGGGGAAGAAGAAGCAGCAGCAGCGGGTGCCTCTTCTCTCCTGACTGAAGCAAGGAGGGAGGGAGACAAGGCTGGGCTTCCCGCTGGAGACCCAGGAAGAGGAGGAGGAGGCCTCTTTGTTCTCCTCCCCGGCTTCTCCCCGAGAGGCCTGGCCTGGCTCGGCTCCCTTCTCAGCGGACCGCCTCCTCGGGAGCCTCCGAAACCACGACCACCGCGGCGTCACATCAACGGCCCAGGCCTCCAACCCGGAAGTTCCTCCGCAGCCGCACCGGAAGGGCATCTTCCGCCTCAGTCGCCGGCTGAAAGGGCGGGGAAGGGAGGATGCTGCCCTGTCCGGAGGGAGAGGCTTCTTCTGCGCCGGTAAGGGAAAAGGAAGGGAAAAGGGACTCTGGAAGGCCAGGCCTCCGTAAAACCCCCACATTATCTGCTTTGAACTGATGTTTCGCCCACATCTATGGCAGGCATCCTCAGAGGTTGTGAGGTCCTAGGAAAATTGGGTTTATATGTATTGTCGAAGGTTTTCATAGCTGGAATCACTAGGTTCTTGTGGGTTTTTTCGGGCTATGTGGACATATTCTAGAGGCATTTTCTCCTGACGTTTCGCCTGCATCTATGGCAAGCATCCTCAGAGGTAGTGAGGTCTGTTGGAAGTAGGAAAATGGGTTTATATATCTGTGGAATGACCAGGGTGGGGCAAAGAGCTCTTCTCTGCTGGAGTTAGGTGGGAATGTTTTAACTGACCACCTTCATTAGCATTTGAAGGCCTGCCTGAGCCTGGGGGAATCTTTTGTTGAGAGGTGTTAAGATGTGCCTGGTTGTTTCCTCTCTGCTGTTTTGCTGTTGTAATTTTAGAGTTTTTAATACTGGTAGCCAGATTTTGTTCATTTTCATGGTCTCTTCCTTTCTGTTGAAATTGTCCACATGCTTGTGGATTTCAATGGCTTCTCTGTGTAGTCTGACATGGTGAGTGTGAGTGTGGTCCAGCCTTTCTGTGTTCTCAAATAATATGCTGTGTCCAGGTTGGTTCATCAGGTGCTCTGCTATGGCTGATTTCTCTGGTTGGAGTAGTCTGCAGTGCCTTTCATGTTCCTTGATTCGTGTTTGGGCGCTGCGTTTGGTGGTCCCTATGTAGACTTGTCCACAGCTGCATGGTATACGGTAGACTCCTGCAGAGGTGAGAGGATCCCTCTTGTCCTTTGCTGAACGTAGCATTTGTTGGATTTTCTTGTGGGGTCTGTAGGTGGTTTAAATGCTACGTTCAGCAAAGGACAAGAGGGATCCTCTCACTTCTGCAGGAGTCTACTGTATACCATGCAGCTGTGGACAAGTCTACATAGGGACCACCAAACGCAGCATTGCCCAAACACAAATCAAGGAACATGAAAGGCACTGCAGACTACTTCAATCAGAGAAATCAGCCATAGCAGAGCACCTGATGAACCAGCCTGGACACAGCATATTATTTGAGAACACAGAAATGCTGGACCACTCCAACAACCACCATGTCAGACTACACAGAGAAGCCATTGAAATCCACAAGCATGTGGACAATTTCAACAGAAAGGAAGGAGACCATGAAAATGAACAAAATCTGGCTACCAGTATTAAAAAACTCTAAAATTACAACAGCTAAACAACAGAGAGGAAACAACCAGGCACATCTTAACACCTCTAAAAGATTTTCCCAGGCTCAGCCAGGCCTGCAAATGCTAATGAAGGTGGTCAGTTGAAACATTCACACCTAGCTCCAGCAGAGAAGAGCTCTTTGCCCCACCCCAGTCATTCCACAGATATATAAACCCATTTTTCCTACTTCCAACAGACCTCACTACCTCTGAGGATGTTTGCTATAGATGCAGGCAAAACGTCAGGAGAAAATGCCTCTAGAACATGGCCATATAGCCCGAAAAAACCCACAAGAACCTATTGGGTTTATATATCTGTGGAAGGTCCAGGGTGGGAGAAAGAACTCTTGTCTGTTGGAGTTAGGTGTGAATGTTTCAACTAACCACCTTGATTAGCATTTAATGGCCTTACAGCTTCAAGATCTGGCTTCTTACTGCCTGGAGGAATCCTTTGTTGGGAGGTGACTGGGGCTCAGATAACTGAGCCCCTTCCACACAGCTGTATAAACTCCACATTGAACTGGATTATATGACAGTGTGGACTCACATAACCCAGTTCAAAACAGATATTGTGGATTATCTTCCTTGATATTCTGGGATATAGGGCTGTGTGGAAGTGCCCTGAGTATGGACTTAGACAAACCAGTTCAAAGCAGATATTGTGGGATTTTCTGCTTTGATATTCTGGGATATAGGGCTGTGTGGAAGGGCCCTCAGATAACTTAGGGCACTTCGACACAGCCCTATATCCCAGAATATAAAGGCAGAAAATCTCACATTATCGGCTTTGAACTGATGTTTCACCTACATCTATGGCAGGCATCCTCAAAGGTTGTGAGGTCTGTTGGAAACTAGGAAAGTGGGGTTTATATATCTGTGGAATGTCCAGGGCGGGAGAAAGAACTCTTGTCTGGTTGAGGCAACTGTGAATGCTGCAGTTGGCCACCTTGATTAGTATTTAATGGCCTTACAGCTTCAAGATCTGGCTTGTTACTGCATGGGGGAATCCTTCGTTGGGAGTTGACTGGGACTCAGATAACTGAGGCCCCTTCCACACAGCTGTTTAAACATCACATTGAACTGGATTGTATTTATTTATTTATTTTATTTACTATACTTGTATACCACCTTTCTCAGCCTATCGGCACCCACATCTATGGCAGGCATCCTCAGAGGTTGTGAGGTCTGTTGGAAACTAGGAAAATTGGGTTTATATACCTGTGGAGTGTCCAGGGTGGGAGAAATAACTCTTGTCTGTTTGACGCAAGTGTGAATGATGCAGTTGGCCACCTTGAATAATATTTAATGGCCTTACAGCTTCAAGATCTGGCTTCGTACTGCTTTGTTGGGAGGTGACTGGGACTCAGAAAACTGAGGTCCCTTCCACACAGCTGTTTAAACTTCACATTGAACCAGATTGTATTTATTTATTTATTTACTATGCTTGTATACTGCCTTTCTCAGCCTATTGGCGACTCAAGGCAGTTTACAACAAGTCAGTACACATAATAGCAAAATACAAATTAAGCATTAAAACAATATAAAACCACAATAAAACCAACATTATTATAATCAGCGTCTCCTAGTTAAAAAATGTTGTCCAAGTTCCATTGTCAAGTGATTCCATTTCCTATGTCAGTAAATGCTCTGTAAATGCTTGCTCATATAACCATGTCTTGTCTCTGAAATGTTAAGAGTGAGGGAGCCATGTGGACTCCCTCACTCTTAACATTTCGGCATTGTGGACTTAAACAAACCAGTTCAAAGCAGATATTGTGGGATTATCTTCCTTGATATTCTGGGATATAGGACTGTAGAAGGGCCCAGAGAGGCATGTTTCTGAGCTTTCGTGCTGTGTGGAAGGGTCCCCAGTTAAGAGCAGATATTGTGGGATTTTCTGCCCTGATATTCTGTGTTATATGGCTGTGTGGAAGGGCCCTCACATAACTTAGGGCCTTCCGCATAGCCCTATATCCCAGAATGTCAAGACAGAAAATCCCACAATATCTGCTTTGAATTGGGTTTTCTGAGTCCACACTGCCATATATCAGTTCAAATGCAGATTCAAAGCTAGTTTCAAAATCAATAACAAACTCCGATAAAAGCTAACAAGGCACAGCAGACGAATTCAACCAGAGAAGCCAGCCATAGCAGAGCACCTGATGAACCAACCTGGACATAGCATATTATTTGAGAACACAGAAATGCTGGACCATTCTAACAACTATCATGTCAGGCTACACAGAGAAGCCATTGAAATCCACAAGCAGGTGGACAATTTCAACAGAAAGGAAGAAAGCATAAAAATGAACAAAATCTGAGTAGTAATATTAAAAAACTTTTAAATCATAACAGCAAATAAAGAACAACACTCAAACACAGGGGAAATCCAGACAAGAAACAATCATGGACAAAGGATTCCCCCAGATAGTAACAAGTCACACCTAAAAACTGTCAGGCCATCAAATGCTAATCAAGGCGACCAATTGACAAGAGTTATTTCTCCCACCCTGGACATTCCACAGATATATAAACCCAATTTTCCTAGTTTCCAACAGACTTCACAACATCTGAGGATGTCTGCCATAGATGCAGGCAAAACGTCAGGAGATAATGCTTCTAGAACATGGCCATATAGCTCAAAAAAACCTGTAACACTTCAGTGATTCCGACCATGAAAGCCTTTGACAATACAATGTGTAGAACAGTTGGATGAACTGTGGGGAATATGTTGCTGAATTTACTGTAGAATCATATAATAGCAAACTCTTTTGTGCTGAATCTACTTTAGTTTGGATGAATACATTGATTTTTAGATTGTAGGGTTTTTTTAAAAAAAATCACATGGCACGTCTTAAATAATTGATCAGTTATCACTTAGCAACTATTTTATGAATACCCTATTAATTAAAGTAACTATTACTTTTTGAATTTAATTTGTCTCTGACCTCACTGTTTATAATTCCCCCATCATATTTTTATATTATCTGTAACCCAGTATAATACATGCATCTTATAAAGTGGATTGCATTCCATGAAATTTTATATGATAGTAAATGTGTTGCAAATTGTTTTTGCTGTGAGCTGTAATAGCACATCAGTTATTGGAAGGGATGTGGTGTCTTCATCCAAAATTACCGTGCCCAGTGACTTAAAAAGAGAGAGGATTTGTTCTTACTCATACCTCTGGTGATTTCAAAACTGAAAATGACATAATATCTTCAGTTCAGTGCACCCACTTCCCAGTTTGCTGTTGCAAGCTGCAAGGTAAACCCCAAAAGCTAAATATTGATCCAGCCTCAAAACCCAAGCCATCTTTCTTCTGCAGCTACACTTCCTGACCAGCAAGGTCTTTTGTCTGCTTTCTGTCCATTTTTGTAGCACATTATTCATTTCTTTTAGGCTATTGTAAATTATTTTTGTTTTCCGGGGGGGGGGGGGGGGGGTATTTGTGTTTGAAAAATATAGTGAAATTTATTT